CTGCGTCATTGTAGCAAAGTCCTTAAAAAGGCTGTTCCTTTTTGCTTGTTTGCTCAACCACCAGTGGAGGATCCATTTGGGTGCTCTGTTATGTTTCATTTCTGCCTGGCTGAGTCACTCCAGGGACCCTGCACTGGCACCTGAGGGCCACAGGAGCCACTTCTAAGTGGGCAGGTGTTCACTGGGGACCATTCATTTTATTGCTCTTCCTCTACTGCGTTTCCAGGAGGCACACCCCCTGCACACGCCCCCGCCCTCCCCACTGTAATTGGCCAGTTTCCTCCTCCTGTTCTTGGAATGGCCACCGAGACAAAAAGCAGTTGGCACAAGTGACTTGGGCTTGCCAATGCTATAATTCAAGACAGAACCCTTGTAATTCTCCAAGTGGTGAGGTTTTTAAATAGGCTGAACTTAAACACCCTATTCTCTAAAAAAGAAAAAGAAAATCAGACCCAAGGCATCACTCTCCTAACAAACAAAGCAACTGACACAGTCAGGGAAAGATCCCGAAGCAGCAGGTTCTGAGCTCAAGCCTTCCACAGGTTCACATTTGACAAATGCTATGGCTTTAGGAGAGACCTCCAAGAGAGTCTGCCCACCCCCCTGGGCCTCTTTGTGCAGGTACCTTTAATCCTAAGGAAATAATTTGAATGCAGCCTCTTCATGGGAACTTGCACCCACTAACAACTGGCAAACAGCCCTGCCCCAGCTTCGGACCCCCAGACTTGCCAGGGTCCCTAAGCAGGGTGTGAGCAGCCCAGGGTGACAGACAGGAGAGAGGAAGGCCCACATTTGCATAGTTCCCTTACTGGGGCTCAAGGTGCTGAGGCCCTGGGGGGAGGATTCGGGGTAGGGGAAGGGAGGTCACGAGGGGCCCTGTGACGTCTCCCTCAGACCTCCTGCCCTGAGTCATGGAGAAGCATGCATGCCACAGGCCTCCCCACCCAAGGGGAGGACATCACAAATCACAGACAGGACGACCAGGGAGCGGATGCCCTCCTCGGCAAGCTTCTTTATGTGCTCCCGGGGGCGGGGGAAGTGGCCCAGGGCTGTGTTGGGACAGACTTGTGGGCAAGTGCCTTGTGATGCTGGGAGCAGGGTACACTGTGTTTCCTAAACGTGGCGGCTGGCGACCCCCTCAACCAGGGTCTCCCCACAGGACCTCTGGAGGAAGGGGGCGCCCTAGAGTTTCAATTTTCCCTCCTTCACTAGTCTGTCGTTGAGCTGGCAGAGCTGAGCCAGGAAACCATCGTTGGGGCCGATCTCACGGTTCTGCCTCACGGCGCTCAGGGCAGACTTGACGTCCATCTTCTGCCGCATCATGAGGTACGCGATAACCAGAGTTGGGGAGCGGCTGTAACCCTCCCGGCAGTGCACAAGCACCCGGCCTGTAAGAACCAAGGGCGATGCAGTTAGCCAGCGATGTCCAATCACCCCAGAGTGGTAGCTGAAATTCTTCTAAGTACAAAGTGCTACCATTGCATACCAGGGAGAATAGCTAAAATGAGAAAGATGGAGGGGCCAGAGGGTAGCTCATTGGTTAAGGTGCTGAACTCCCACATAGTTGACCGTGGTTCAAGTTCCAGGCCTGGTGGCTTGAAACTCATACCAGGCGCACGTGTGCACACACAAAATATCAAGAGGAGAATGGAAGAGAAGGGATGGCATTGTGGCCACACCCCTGAGGGGTGATTTCTCACTTTCTCTTTGTCTCTGTCTCTCCAGATTTTTGCACCCTGTAGCAAAAATCTCTAAAAGAAAGGAAAAAGGAAGGAAGAAGCGAAGGGAGGAAGGAAGGAAGAAGAGAGAGAGAGAGATGGACAAGACAAAGCATTGGTGAGGATGTAGAACAACTAGAACTCTTCTGTGTAGCTGGAGTAGAGGTGAAAACTGGGATAAGCGCTTTGAGAACTGGTGGTATCTGCTCAAGCCAGACACGTGCACCCTCCGCGGCCCAGCAACTCCACCCCAGTCCATGCCAGCAGGA